AGTTGAAGCTCAAGTGACATGGGTTATCTCTTTTCCAACTCTTTATCTTTTGTATCAGATTCTTAAGTATAGTTAATATGCAAGTTCTGGATTTTGTGTTCATTATGTATCTTTAAAGTTTATGCATTGGGTTTGGTTGAACTTCTTATGATTGTTAGTGTTTATTATTTGGCTATTTGATTGCTATTATTTGAACAAGTTATTTAGCACTTTAGCTCTTTAAATCATCACTAATCTAGTACCATTGATCGTGATTATCTAATGTGTTGTTTTTACAATGAAAATTGAGATTTAACACTGGTTCAAGAAATGCTAAACATAGGGAGTACACTCACGAGAGTAGAGGTGCACCTATGTGGTTTTAGTGATTCATTTAATGTAATTTCATTGAAGAAATGAACTTGTAACTAATTTCATAATCATGAGAATAGGTATGGATTAGTTATGAGTATAATTGATTCACTACGAAAGTAGGAATCATATGCATAAGGAAATTACACCATAGCTAGTCAAGATAGTAGTTCTCAATGATCCAAAATTAGCAATTGCATGAGTAGTTAGGGATTCCATAACCTAAGGAGGTTTCATTTGTTATTTTGCATAAGTTCAGTAGGTTTCATTTCTTATAATTCATTGATAGTCTAAATAATAGAGAAACTTTAGTAACACCGGTAATTGTTCAATCTTTCTCGTGGGATCGGCCCGATACACGCCCTAAACTACTAATTTGACCTGTATATTTGCAGTCAAATGGGTGTAAATCGAATTTTTTAACTTGTACGTATATTAAAAGCCCATCAAGTTTTTGGCGCCGTTACCGGGGAAGATTCGGCAATATCGGTGTGAAGAGCAATTTTATTAGTTTAGACATTTCATTAGTTAGAGTGTGAATGTTATTTTCTGTTATTTTTGTGTTTTATGTGTGTATGTGTTTCATTACCTATTTTTCTTACTAATTTTGCTTTTGAGATTGTTTAAAAGCAATTTTAGGTGATGAGAAAGGCAGGTCAATTTGGAGGACAATGCTTGAGAAGTGGAAGTTGGCAATGGATGGTTACCAAGTGCAAACTCCCTCAACAGAGGTAACCAAAAATTTACTAAATGTATGTCTTTTGAAGATGGTTCAAGGTGCTTAAAGGCTAAATTTGATGTTATGATACTACAAGTTCAAATGGACACAATTATGCATGAAATTGAGCAAGGGAGGAATGTTAATACTTTTAATTCTTATCATGTGATTTGTGACTTGTGTGGAGGTTATCATGCTACTAATATATGTAGACAAGCACAAAATATGGATTATTATGATGAATTAGAGCATTACAATCCTTGTTTTGATCAATACAGTGCTAATTGGAGCAATTCTCCTACGTATGGTTGGGATAATCAATGTGGATATAGTGATTCTCCAAATTTTTATGATTACTAATCTGAAAGTGTCCAATATGAATCAAAACCATTTTGGGAGTTGGCAATAGAGAAGTTAGCTAATGCACCTCTACCTTGGGAATTAGAAAGTGAACCATTAGCTAATGATTCTAATACATCTTGGAAGCTAGCTGTAGAAAATTCTTCTAATCAATTTGATTTAACCATATAAAAGCTAGCAAATGCAACCTCCAACCGTTTTGATAGGGTTGATGAAATGCTAGATAAATTAACTTCTCACTTTGGTAGAATACAAGACCAATTATATGCATTGTGTGAAGTTATTTCCTCTAATGATATGCAAAATGGCCATATTATGAATGGTAGGAATGTTGTATGTGACAATGGATTAAATTTTGATCAAAATGATGAATCTAACTTGTGTTTCAATGAGGAAATGTCCATTTCACGGGATAGTACCTTTGGAGCTAACATTGAACCGCAAGAAGCGAGCCTTAACGACTCATTTTTCATCCCTCTAGAGAAACGTGTTACTTGTATAGGTTCTAAAAGTATTATAGCCTAAGAAAGCTATGTAGATGTTCTTTTGGTGAGTACTCAAGTGATGTATGTTCAAAATAATATCTACGATTCACTTGAGTTAGGTAAGCTATTTCCACTTCTTATATCATTAGAACACGTGATTCATGTGATCGAGTCACCTTTTAATGATCCACCATGTCCAAAAATGGTGGATTATTCGTTAACTAAACCTCCTTGAAAAATGAGGTGATATAATCAAGCTAATGACTATAAAGAAGTGTTTGTTGGGAGGCAACCCAACGATTTCTTGTTCTTAGTAAGTTTTAGTTGTTTAACCAGTGTTTTTGTGTGTTTTGTAGGTGGTAATAGTAAGGGTTCATGCAAATGATTTCAATTGCAAAAGTGTCTATATTGAGGCAAAAAGGGGGTTTTCATGTTCAATTGCTGCATTTCATGCATTTAAAGTGTTTCATGTTAAGGTTGTATCATGCATGATCATGTTAAATTTGGATTTTATTCAAAGAACATGAAAGCAAGTGGATACCGGTGGAATGCGGAAGGTTGGCCAAGCAAATTTGGAGGAAAAACTGCAGAAAACAGATTTTTCTGCAGCAAATCCGGCCAAATATTGGCCGAATTGAAGGCCGGATAGTCAGGGGAGAAAGAAAAAAAATTTTTGGAGTTACTGCCTTGAATCTGGCCATAAATCGGGCCAAAAACTGGCTGGATTGTAAAAAAAAAAAAAAAAAAACCACTGTAGCAAATCCGGCCAACAATCCGGCCGAAAATCCGTCCAGAAACTTGCCGGATATGCAAAAAAAAAAAAAATTTCTGCCACGAATCCCTCCAATTTTTGGCCGGATATGAACAGTAACCAGCATAAGAGGAATCCATCACAATTTTTCTCCTTTCTCCTTCAACCTACACACACACTCACACCTAAAACATACACTACTCACTAAACGCACTCTTTTCACCATCCAATTTTCAAACCAACTATACCAAAACACTCCCTTTTCACTTGAGAGATGATTTCATAGCTAAAACTTCTTCGAAAACAAGTCTATTCGGATTTGAGTTTGGCAAAAACAAGGGTTTCAAAATTTTGAACTCTCCATTTGAGGCCGAATTGGAGTGAGATTTTTGGGGGGTTTTTTCACCATTTACATAGAAGATTTTGAATTCAGGATCTCCTGCTTACAATCCCTTCCCTTTTACCGCCCAACCCAATCCCCTTGAAGGAAAGTCAGTTTGTACCAAATGATTGAATGTATTTTATATACTGACATTTTGATAAGTTTAATTCCATTGTTATAGATTTGGAGAGATAAATGTAAAAATTACTAATATGGACCAGGCATAAAACTCTAGCAATAGCAAATTTATATCTAAATCCAAATCTAGACACAAAAAAGAAGTAGTACAAATATTGTGTCAGAAAGGGGTACATTATGTTTGAATGCATTAAATTGAAAATCAAGAAAAGCTAAGCAGAGAAATCGAGCAAGGGAGATATTAAAGCCATTGAAGCCATTGTTTTGCAATTGTCATGAAAGATGAAAATATTTTGTCTGTGATTGATGACAAAATGAGAACTAAAAGTGAGTGGGTTTTATATTCAAGTTATTCTTATCACTGTCCAATATAAATTTCTTTTTCACTTGTAAATCTAGTACTGGCGGCGTTGTTTTGATGGGTATATTTAAAAAATAATAGGATGTTGTCTGAAATGTTATATTACTGCTTTGATTGGAAGTACGAATAACCTTCGGGTAATAAGTTACAATCGTTTGGTCCTCGAAACGGTTCTTATTTTGTATATCTAGCAACAATATATACACATGCTAAAATTATATATCTACCGTATGGTTCAGAGGATTAAAGTACAGAAACTTAAATAATAAAAAAAGTACAAAAACATTTCATACAAATGCCACATGCAGTATTGGACTAGGATTTGGGAATGGTTGATTTTGAGAAATCAAATTTAAGGGAAAAACTTAGGGTGCGTTTGATAAAATTGAAATCTAGAAATTGAAAGATGAAATTTGAAATCTAAAGTCTGAATCCATTAAATTATTGAATTGCTAAGTATTAGATCTGATACATTTGAGTGTATATTTTATTAAGTGATAAGTAAATAGTTTATCACTTATTTTTTTGAGCAAATTTTACATTAAAAATGAAGTGCTACTTAGTTATTTCAAATGTTTAATTTTTAATTATCAAACATGTTTGAAACATGTTAAGATCTAAATTCATTAAGTTATTTATTAAATTTAAGTGCTGAATTAAGTTATCAAACATGACCTTACTTTTTCAAACTTTATGATAGATAAATACTAATATTTAAATCTTATATACAGTGACAGTATATACACTATTATTGTTGGATACATAACATATATGCAAAAGTTAAATTTCAAATTCAAATTTTACATAGTTGTCATTCATCCAACGCTGACAGTGTGTCAGTATAGGAAAGATTAATCCATATTTAAAAGTTATATCCGAAATCTTTCATTTTATATAGAAGAGTTTAACAATTTGTACAACTATGCTTTACCTGTACATGAATTTAACAATGTCAAGTACAACTATCATTAACCTTGTAACTTATTACAAGCGGCATTCATAATTAAAATTAGTCGACTTTTTGGTTAGGTGATAAAGTGGACAGTCAACAAACATACAAGGTAGATCTATAATAATGAGCAAGTATAAAGATTTTCATAATTAAGCAATTCAATTTGGGGAAAAATTAATGTGAATTTCTACCACATGCATGGATGCTGATTGTAAAACTGTTTAGAAACTAGATTAGGAAAAAAATTTGAATGCAAATCTTCGGCACGTGGAAGCTGATTGAACAATTGTTCAGAAACTTAATTTGGTAAGTTTTAAATTTGTTTTCCTACCATAAATGCATTAGATTGCAGATAAATATGACTCCAATGTGAATTAATTTTTTGCCATATAAGACAAGGTCACAATAGGAAAAGCGGCATCAATAGGCACAAAGGAAAACCCTATAAATACCCTCCTTCTTCTCAAATATTGACATTGTGAATCGATCAAATGAAGCCATGGCCAAAAAATTAACTAGAGGTCATCAAAAGGTTCCTATAGTTGAAATGGAGAAAAATAACAATCTCCATGTTACCTTCTCAAAGCGTCGCAATGGCCTTTTCATGAAGGCCAACGAACTTTGCACTCTTACTGGTGCAGAAGTTGCTCTGTTGGTTTTCTCTCCTGGAAAAAGGGCTTACTCTTTTGGTCATTCATCTTTCGAATCTGTCATTGATAAGTTTGTTGGAAACAAGCCATCACCTAGCGTCCATGGTGGCACTAATCAGCATGTTGCCAATCACCATGGAGATAATATTGATGAACTCAATAATAAAATTATCGACCTTAAAACACAATTGAAAGCCAACAAAAAACGTGAAGAAGTTCTTGGTCAGATGATAAAAGAAGGCCAGCACAAGAATTGGTGGCAGGCTCCAATTGGAGAGATGAATCTGGAGCAACTTCTGATGATGAAGAAGGCACTGGAAGAACTTAAAAAGAAGGTTCAGGATGAACTTAAGTGCCAGATCTAGGCAGCAAATATATCTCAGTACTTGTTTGAGAATGGTAGTTTTTATAGAAGATAAAGGGTCCTTCCAATATTAAACCCTAATGGATTTCCCCTAATTTCCTAGCTATTTTTGCAAGTATTCAATACATATAAGATTGTGGTATGGACTCTTGAGTTATTCTCTTGTATCCCTTTTTTTTTTAAGTAATTCTAAGTCTCTGTCGCATGGATCTCTCTAATCATGTGTCAAGGAAAAACTTTAGTTCAGAGTTTTCTCTTGCTATTAGATTTCATACATGTGTCCTGTGTGTTCAGTTATAAGGTTGTAATGTTTTTGATATCGAGATCATAAATAAAAGTGTTATTTTTCTTTAGTAAAGGTTTTTTTCTTTACTCATTGATCATGAAACACTGGTACCTTATTGAAGTATGAAATTTTATGAAAATTTTACATCCATATAAATAGGAAGATATATATATATATATATATATATATATATATATATATTTATCATAACATTTTTTCCTTAGGGTAAATTCCACTTTACCCCCTGTGGTTTAGCATTTTTTTTACATAACCTCCCTATAGTTTCAAAAGCTATATATAACCCCCTCATGATTTGAATTAAAGTGTCAAATTGACGAGAATGATCATTCGTAACGTAGTCACCTAAAATGTCAAAAATACCCTTATATAAAGTTAAAAATTATTTATTAAACAAGGGGGATTATGTGTATATTTTGAAAACCATAAGGGGGTTATATGGTAAAGTATTAAACCATAAGGGGGTTATATAGTAAAATATAAAAATTATACGGGATTAGTATGTCAGGTATTTATAAGGATAATTACGACATTTCTAGAAGTTCAGTTACGAATGACTATTTCCGTCACTTTGACACTTTAATCCAAACCATGAGGGGGTTATGTATAGCTTTTGAACCATAGGGGGGTTATGTAAAAAAACACTAAACCACAGGGGAGTAAAATGTTATTTGCCCTTTTCCTTATATTCAACTCTAATAATTTCTCTCTTACTTTACATCGTTTTTCTTCTTGATTATTCTATGTAGAGTATGAAAAAGAAAAAGCCATATATAAAGGCTTGTCATTTGTAGATCCATCACATAGTTCATAAGGAAAACCATAAACCCCTTTGAATAGTCAAGATTAAGTTCTTTTCATAAATGAGTAAATGAATAACTTTTTGTCATTTTAATAGCCTCCATTTTTTTCCTTAATTGCCTCCATTTTATTGAAATAATGAAAAAAAATTGACTTATCATGATTATCTACAATATTTATGTTTTCGTAAGGGTTGGGCACTAGGCAAATGCTAGCCCTCCTTGACCATTTGTGGGTTGAAGGATTTTTTCTCCTTTATTCACTCCTCATATTAGTGAGTAATTAAAAACCTGCCAGTACCCGACGCCCTGCATACACACACACACACACACATATATATATATATATATATATTCATTTATTTATTTATTTTTATGCACATATTATAAAATAATATTTTTAGAGTTAAATAAGTAATTCCATTGAACAAATTGCAGTACAAATATGAGAGATTATAGTTCATTTACAAGATTTATTTATAGAGGTCATGATCTTATATTTCATAAAAAAGAGTTTAATTAATGTGGAACATATATTTAAAAAAATGTACTACTTATTTCAAACTTTCATTGATTTTGAATTCTTTTAATTTTTTTACTTTTTCTTGCATTCTATTCCCATGTTTGTTTCTTAGTAGGAGATTTTGTGGAAATTTTTTTTATTAAATCTTACATGAATGTGTAAAATACAAAATTAAATTAGTATAAATCATTTTTTAAAAAATTAAATGATAAGTGGAGTGGGGGAGGGTACCCATTGACCCAACCCTATCTCAACGAGTACTCTATAATCGAATACCCACTGATATGCGGAGCGGGTAAGGATCAGAAAATAACTGACCCGCAAATTATGGGTTGGATCAGCCACATGGTACACGGGGCAGGTATTCGACCTATGCCCATTCTTACTAGACACCGAATGACTAGCAAGAGAAGGTTGGACCATAGGGTAGGGCTCCCATTATAGTTTAATTTTTCAAAAGAAAAAAAAGTTAAAGAATCATATGATAAATTTCATATCTTTTTAGATAAAATCAAAAATTTTAGAACAAATTTCATATCGTGCCCTACATGTTCATCTTAAGGATCTAATTAAATAGAGAATTTGCTGAAGAAAACCTCGTCCCAAAAATAAAATCTTGTAAAAACAGCATAGTAGCGTAAGTTATCATTCTTCAATCTCCAACCCAACTCAACCAAAAATAAACTGTAAAAACATAGAACAATTCTCCTTAATTCGTTTTCTCTATACGTGAATAACTAGTGCAATAAAGCGGTTCAAATTACTCTATAGTCAAGCATGAAAAACCTTCCTCAAAAATTTTTAATGAAAAATACTCTCCCTGTATTTTAAGATCTGCATGGGCACATTTTTTGTAAACGCAATTTTAAAAAATTTCAAACATATTTTCCCATCCTATTTTTATGTGAGTGTGTACACGCAGACATATATATATGGATGTATGTTTGTATGTATGTATTTATGTATGTGTGTATATGTGTATTTATGTATATGTGTGTATCTACACATATATTTACCCATAATGCTGCAACAATAGCTGAAAGCAAAAACAATGATAACCATCCATGTCGATTCAATTGTTTCAATTTGACATTTTGGAAAAAAAATTTTCAAAAATTCTTTTAACACATTCTTGGATTATCTTTTCAAACTATAAGGTGCTACAATGACACACACATATATGTAAATGTGTTTATGCATGTATGTGTCTATTTCTTTATTCCTGATAGCTAAGGTGTGATTGTCTGTAATATTATATTACTACTTTTATTGGAAGTAGGAAATATTCAAACTTTTGGTAATAAATTTCAAGTATTTAGTCGTTGAAATGGTTCTTGTTTTGTCCATCTAACAGCAATATTTACACATGCCAATATTAGATATATACCACATGGTTCAGAGGATTAAAGAGACACTTTGTTTACAAATATCACACGAAGCACCGGGAAAGGATATGTTAACAAAGGAGAAAAAGGAAGTATTGAAAATTGTGCTAATTTTTTTTCTCAGATAAACTTGTTATAATGCGCATTTTTTTTCTATGGTTCATTTATTTTAATATCTTATTTTTGATGAAATTAATTCATGTATATTAGTAATGAAATATAACACTATAGTAACAGCATTAATGAATAAATCACCGTGAGGACAAATTTATAAAATACGTGAAATTCAATATTCAGTTATCTATAATTATGAATAGGTATATTGAATTCAGTGTTCAAATTCAGATAATGAATGATATTAGATTCAATACTTGATAAATTAGTAATTTAATATACTCATTTTTCAAACACACCTTTAGTAATTAGAAAAATTAACACTCCTTTCGTACGTGCCCTCTCTTTTTGTCCTCTATTTTCTTCATCTGGAAGGCGCATGTCAAGTTTGCTCGTTAATGAACTTAACTCCCAAAGTCCTACTCCATGAATATTACTTTTTTTTTTTCTGCTTCATTTGCCTTTCTAAGTTGAGAGAAGATATAACCTTGTTAATTTACTCTGTTGACAATTATCACTTCTCACTAATATTCAAACTCATTAATGGTCAAGTCTTTGACCATTTCTGCAATAAAAATCAGGATTCCATTCAAACTTGTAGATTACAAATTTGAAAGTTTCTTATTTTGACTGTTTAAGAGAAAACTGAAAATTTCAATAGTATCATACTGCTACAGCAATGCATATGAATTGTTGAAAGAAAGCCTAGATGGATATCGATTTTCTCCATTGGCTGTTCATTTATTTACATGTCCAATTTTGATTCAGTAACTAAATAATTAAGCATTGTTTAATTATGTCCTTGTTTCTTTTATGTTTATTTAAAATATTCACGTATTTTAGAGGTAAAGTTTATGTCCCCTCCTTTTTAGTTTTTTAAATTATTAATAAAATTAAAAATTTTTCAAGAAAAAAGGCATGCGCATTCTTTTGTTGTGGTTAAGAGTAGGATGGTTCAAAAATTTTGAAAAACCATATTTTTGCTCCTAATATTCCAAACTACCCTAGAGGAATTGGAATTTGGATTTCACTTCCAGTGTCCAATTAAATTGTCCGATACAAAACAACTGCCAGAAACTTTTTTTTTTCATAGTTTTAAGTGTTAATCAAGTTTGACATTGCGACTGTTTGAAACATTTCTTCTAGGGTCCAATGTGTGAATAACTCATAGCCAATTGCTATAATCATTGTCTTATAAGAGACTGCTGGTTTTTCCCTAAGTAAGCATCCTCAACTCAGTTAAATTAAATGGCTAAAAGATAATGTTAGTATGGTATGACTGATGACTTGAAAAAAAAGGGTGGAATGGCATTCGTGTTATAAAAGGCATATGCAATCCAACATCTAATTTACCGTCTGGAATTTACAATTGGCAATCTAAGCTCATTATTTACCACCAGTTACTCCCTAAGTGAGAACTTAGATTGGATTACAATCTTAATTTAGGCTCCTACCATGATGGAATAGATTTGACATCTAATAGTTTGTAATGATTCCGCAGGAAATAAGACCAAATAGTTAACCAAATTCTGTTAGCCAAATACTACCTTGCGGAAATTGTTATAACAGCTACCACTTGCAGAAGTTGGTTATTGATTAGTTAGTGAGGAAGCTTTCTATTAATAGGCCAATGCTAATGTAAAGCGTTAAGCAATATTTGATCATTGAGAATACAACTTTCCCGCTTCTTCTATTCAGTCTGCTTCTCCCCTTTTTCTCTCAACCCTTCTCTCCATCTCCTTCTATACTTCAGTTCCTTAGCTGAGTCAACCAATCCCCCAATCCCCAACCATTACACTTGGTATCAGAGCTTTAAGAAGGATCGAGGAGTAGTGCAGTGGGAAGAGTTTGCCTCAGAACTTTGCAGACGATTCGGGGATATAGGAGGAGATGACGTGGTTGAGGAGTTCAACAAGTTGTACCAGGATTCATCATTGCTGGCATATCAGGAAAAATTTGAAGAATTAAGAGCTGCCGTCATGGTGAAGCTCCCTCTCCTTTCTGAGTCCTATTATGTTTCTAGTTTTTTGAGTGGGCTAAAGGAGGAGATCAAGGCTGCTGTGAAGATGCACATGCCTCAGACTTTGCAGGCAGCATTCGAAAAGGCTAGGTGGCAAGAGCAGTATTTGAGTATCATCTTAAAGCAGAATAAAACACCAGTGAAGGTAT